CAATAGTTTGAAGTGTAAGATTAGGAAACTCAAGCTCAGGATTGATGACAACACAAAGTTAGTTATGACAAGTGAGAAGACGGGTCAGTCAAGGATTGTATCAGCTATAAGGGCTCAACGAATGATCGATTAGGTTTTTGAGGCTTTTCTATCTTACTTGTTCGATACTAGAATCTCAGCCCCAACACTTTGGGATATCTGAACAATATGAGATTTCCTCAATATGTTTACAGAAGAATTATCAAGCTTACCACCAAATCGTGAATTAGAATTTGGCATCAAAGTATTGTCAGGTTCAGTTCTAGTGTCCATTGCTCCCTATCGCATAACACCGATAGAACTCAAAGAGTTAAAGACCCAGATTCAAGAATTGCTAGAAAAGGGCTTCATCTGACCGAGCATATCTCTGTGTGGAGCACCGATCTTGTTTGTTAAGAAGAAATATGGATGTTTTCACATGATGTTTGATAATTTTTTTGGGTTAACCACTTCGGTGGTCCCATGTAATACTCTAGTCCACTGATCATCAGAACGTATCAGATTAGGGTGTTACATGCTAACTCTTCCAATTGATCCACATATCCAAGCCTTAAAAAAGAAGACCAGAATAATAGCATACTTGCAATGATTTTTTGAATGCGATCCATGTGTTATTTGGTCAACAAATCTTTTGGAGATATAACAGTCTGTCTTTTAGCTTTTCAACAATACTTGAAACACATTAATTAAATATAGATAACTCAATATACGTTCATTTTAGTGAAGACAATGCATACAGAAATTCATATACGAGATTAATATGAGATTTTGTAAATATTATAAATTTTTAATATTTTATTGATTATTTGTAATATAATTTAATATACAAAGTTGCACTATAGTTTAAGACTAGATTTATTATTTTATTAGGAATTAGAATCAAACATTATCTATAGTTATTATTATTTTATTCATTAGTTACTTAGGACTTTGGAACTCCTCTCCTATATAAAGGAGGCTCCATTCACCATTATAAATCATATTTCTTTTGATTATATTTTGTTAAGTGTTGATTGCCTTTTGTCTTCGAAGCATTCTTCATCATAAAGTTCTTCAAGTTCTCATCATAAGAGCATGTTCGGCATGTCATTCAAGAGCTTAATGCTAAGTTCATATTAAAAGATCTAACTCATTCAATACTTTCATGGTATTGAAGTTGTTATACGTCGTCTGGGATATATTTAAGTCAAAAGAAGTACGTAGAAGAGCTACTTGCCAAGTTCAATATGGATATTGCAAGGTCGGTTGATACCTCGATGGATGTTGCTCCTAAATTATGTAAATAGAGTAACAGTGAACTTGTTGATGCCACATTATATCATAGTGTAGTCTATCCACTTTTATATATGTGCCATACCAGATCTGACATCTCCTTTGTTGTGCATAAAGTGGCACAACTTATGTTGGCAACGTGTGAGTCACATTGGTCAGCTGTTAAGATAATATTCATGTACTAGAAGGGAGCAATTGATTTTGGTCTTTAGATTGCTCCAAGAAAAGATTTTTCGATTGTTACAAGCTTTATAGATGCGGATTGGGGTAGTGAACCTGATGATCGTCGCTTTGTTTTGGGATATTGCGTGTATCTAGGGCAATATCTATTATTGTGGAGCTCAAGGAAGCAAATGTCTGTGTCATGTCCACAGCTGAAGTGGAATACCAGAGTATGGCTGATGCAACCTCTGAAGTTACCGAGTTAAGGAACTTTTAGAGGATATGGGTGTTCATCTTTCTCAAACACCTATCATATGATGTGATAATACGAGTACAGTGGCTATTGTAGAAAACCCGATTCTGAATGTGAAAATTAAGCTAGACCTTAATGTGCACTTTGTGTGTGAGAAGGTTGAGAGCAGATTGATTGAGGTGAATTATGCACCAGCTAAGTTTCAAGTTGATGATGTCTTCACTAAGCCTCATCATGCAGCTCGATTTCAAAAACTGCTTCAGAATTTGAAGGTTTTACCCTTAAATCATATATGATCTCCTAAGCGAAAAGAATGTTAAAAAATTGAGTATAGGTTGTTTGTGATTTGTGCCGTCTGGCTTTGTGGAAACTGAAATTGGTTATTTTGTTAGGTGGTTATGCCCAATGGTTCAGGTCAGGTCAAACTTTTTGTGTTGATCTGTTGGACTAAAGTGGGTTATATAAAAAAGGCTCACAGGCTTGAAGGCCATGTTTTGAAAACCGAACCGGACCGGTCGGTTCAATCGGGAATCGTTGTCTAGTCCGGTTCAATCTAAACCGGTTGAACCGCTACTAGTGAACCGGTCAGAACCGTTGAACCGTTCGAACCGGACCGGCTGAAAACCGGAAAAAAATGGAAATTTTGTTTTTTTTTTAAAAAAAATTAAACCAAACAACGTCGTTTGTTAAACGAGCCAAATTGAACTTGAGTATTGCTGAGCTCGACTCGAACTTAAAAACTTTAAAAGTAAGCTCAACTCGACTCAAACTCACAAGCTAAAAATTATCAAGTTCAACTCAAACTCGAAATATAATATTGAAACTTGAACTCAAAAAAAATTTAGAAGCTCGATTGAAGCCTAAAATTCGAGCTTGATTGAAGTGAAAGAATAGTTCACTCAATGCTCACCAAAAGGCTCCATGATTTTGAATGCCAAATTACCTCTATTATTTATAGAAGTTAGTTGTGATGCTCTTCTATGTTTCTTAGCAATGTGAGATTGTTTTGTTATCATATTTTTACTCTTTAGACTTTTGGGATGCTCTTCTATATTTCTTAGCCATGTGGGATTGTTTTTTTAAAAAAATTAAACCAAACAATATTATTTTGTTATGATTTTTTTAGCCCCAAATTTATTTTTTAATTATAGTTATATAATTATATTTATTATTTAATATGTTTTACCTTAAATATTATGTTGTAGTTAATTTGAATCATTTTGTTTCACTTGATTTTATGGGTTTTAACTTATATATATGTTATGACTTGCTTTGAATATGACTTAGATATAAAAAATTATTTTTTATTAAATATTTTTGGTATTTTTATTTAATTTTTTAAATAATTATGACGTCGTCCGGTTCTTCTGACCGATCGGACCAATTCGACCGGTTGAACCAGTGAACCGGTAGCATGACCGGTTCGCTAACCGGTCTGATTCTGAAAACCATGCTTGAAGGCTAAATCATCTAATAGCCTACACTCTCTTCTTCATCTCGTTAACCTAATTTTCCTCTGCTGTTTCACTTCTTATGTTTTCTCTGGTGTCGTTTTCTCTCCTTTCTAGGTTTAATGAAGCAATTAAGAACTAATCAATTGGTGTGCTTGAAGCTGTTATCATTCATTGTGTCTATAAAGTGAGAGGACTAGAATTGGAAGCCGAAGAAAGGAGGTCAAAGGCATCCGCACTATCCGCCTGAACAATAAGGTTACGAAAGCCCCTATACCAAGCAAGATTAAGGTCATCAAGAACACCCCATAACTCAGAATTGATGATCCAAGAGATACGCAAGTTATGAGCAAAACCGGCAATGAAGCTTCCGTCATGACTACTCAAGATACCATCCGAGGAGCTATGATTAGAGTGGCTCACCGAGCCATCGTGTTGAGGCAAATGGAGCTCAGAGGAGGATGTTCCTAAATGATTTCAGTAGTAGTAGATCGACCACAGACAGCAGAAGCACCCGAATTATAAATGTTTGCCCAAGAGAGACTTTGATGAAGCCAAGAAGTAAGAGTCTTCTGGCTATTTTAGAAAACCCAATTGTTTCGCCGCTTCCAAATACACCAAAGCAAGGAAGAGAAAGCTATTTTCCAAGGTATGCAAAAACCAACATACTGAAGTGAGGAAGAAGAAGACGGATTGGCCACTAACCAGTCATGGAGCTGAAAGGAGAAAAGACGGGCAGGAGGACCACAACTATCCAAAGTGACTTGGTCCAGGGGCAGTCCCTGAGAATGTGAATCGTCGTCTCCTCAGCAGCTCCACATATGGAACAGGAAGGATCTCGAGCGATCCCCCGCTTACACCGGTTTACATTTGAGAGAAGCTTATCATGAGTAACTAGCTAAAGAAAAGTTCGAATCCTCTCCGGGACTGCCAGCTTCCTTGTTAACCAGGTGGATCTCAACTTTATAATCCATAAAAAAGGGTTCATTTATTAAAAAGCCAACCTAAATTTGATTGGATCTCAACATATGTACATTGTAGTCTAAAAGCTCGCTATCGTCCTCGCCTACTCCTCCTTTATGTTAACCTCATAAAACAAATGTAAGGTACCCAACCGTTAAGAATCCTAGGAGAAATAGCTGGTGTTGCTGATTTATAATTACATCTTTGTTAGGATTTAATTATATAGATATTATTATCAGTGTAATATATAAAAAATATAAGATTATTCATTTTCAAATTCTTAAAATCTTTTAATTTAAGAATATGGTATAATTTAAATAGTTAAAACATTATATAAAAGAATTAAATAATCAATACAAAATAAACCTAAAATGTAAGAAAAATTAAAATTTCTATAAGATCCATTAATGGTTAGTAGGTAAAATACACGTTAACAACCCATTTGAGCGACCCTATTTATCGCTATAAATAATATATTTATTATATTTTCCCTTTCATATACTACATATCTACATGAGTATTGATTAAAGATTCTATAATCCCATATTTTATTTCCAAAATATTTCGACCACAGAAAAACATATAATGGAATCTGATCAGATATTTCACAATGTGTCTAGACTAGCCATTCACCTAAGTTTCACTACTTTCCAAGTTTGTATTTTTATTATACTAAAATAAAACGTGTTGGTCTATGCTTTTTAGTTAAATCTAATTAAAAAATATCAAAATAAATAACAAAAAATTGATATTTTTAAAATTTTGATTTTATATGAATAGAAGCGTCTAGCGACAATTTGCTGTCAAATGCCATAGCTTTTTCAAGGAAGTTTCCCTTGATGACTAATGCATGCAAGACATGGGAAAACATAAACTATTTTCTTTTCTGTTTGGAACGAAGGAAAGTAAAACAGATTGCGTACGAATACATAAACCAAGTTCCTCTGGGACCAGATTCCCCCACAAACAAAACAAAGCCATTACGATCATAGAAAGTTCATTTTTGGGATGAGCATCATCCGAACTTGTGAATTAACTCGAAACCTCGTCCAAAAGCTTGTATCTTCTTACCTTGTTTCTGAACACATGTCTTGTAATGAACCCACCGTTTGATCTCTCTTCCGATTTTGTTCTCCTAAGCTTTTCTTCTAGCCGAGCATTGCTTATTATCCTTCTTCGTGGCGATTTCTCCGGTGACGGCGACCTTTTCGTCACCCGCAGCCTTAAATCCTTGCTTCTTTGGCCGCCGCCTTTCATCCCTCCATGATTGTTATCATTCTCGGTCTTCTTCTTGTTCTTCTTGTTCTTCTTATTGCTATCGTCTTCCTCGATCTTGTCTTTCCATGTTGCTGAAGAGTTCGAAGAATTCTGAGACCTCTGATCCTTCGAATCCTCCTTTTGATCCAAACACCAATTACAAACTCTGTAAAACTCGGCTTTCGGATACAGATTGCTGCAGTATCTGACATAAATGGAACGAAACTCAATAGTATTAAAAAAGTCGAATTCATAAGATTTTAACTGAATAAAACAACATAAAATACATATAAAATATATAATCATCTAAAATTACAATAGATCAAATAAAAAAAACAAAGTCAAATGAATGATTCATTATGTTTTGTACCTGTGCTGAGATCTGAAATGGCAAATTTTGCATTGAAAAAGCTCCCGAGTTAAACCAGAATCACCACACATGCAACACTCGAGAAGGCTTGATTGTTGTGAGATCGATATGATATCTTGCTTGTTTTCTGCCATTTTTTTTTTCTTTCAAGAGGAAGGGAGAGGGAGAAGAAGACGATAAGAGTAGGAAAGAGCATCACATGAAACCATGTTTCAATGGAGTTTTATTGCAATAATGCATTAATGAATATATATATGTTGGATATCATTTTCCGTGTGTGAAAAGTAATATACTAATATCGTATACGTGTATATGTACACAAACACGTTAATTGATTTGCTTTTACATATTTTTCAATTAGGGTATATCATATGTTTTAGCATATTAAAATACATTCAACTAATGTAAAATGTGAACCCTTACATATAAATAATCTTTTTTGAATATATATTATATATATTTTATATGCAATCAATAAATTTATATAGGGAGGTAGAATATGTTTATATTAAGTAAAAGTTTTTAATTTTATGTTTGTTTTTTTAAATGGTTGAGATTAATATTATGAAACGAGAATATATTTACTAGAAAAAAAAATTTCAGTTTGCATTCATCCATACCTTAAAACGTGTAAAACTAAAAATTGTTCGACGAAATGTTTAGAAGAAAAAAATGATCCCTCATGTTATAATATATTAATCAATAGATTTTTCATGTTATAATATATTAATCAATAGATTTTTTCAGAAATAATGGGGTGTTTGGCAAACAACTGATAGTTGATAGTCGGTAGCTGATTCTAGTAGCTAATTTGACCAATTAATTTGATTAGCTGATTTGAGAAATTGATTTGATTAATTGTTTATATAGAAGTGTTTGGTAAAATTTAACTGATAGTTGATATGGGTAAAATGACAAATAAGGGTATGATACATTTAGTTGTTAAATACATATATGTTTTATAATACTTTAGTCTTTATTGAGATGAAATTATTCGGACAAAATGTTTTTAACAATGAATTAAAAATTCCTTAAGAAAATTAGTGAATATTTTTGAAAATTTTGAATATATTTTTTAAAATTTAATATTTACAAATATTAATCTTGTGAGATTGATACATACTATTAATTTTGTTTAAAATATCAACACTACATTTTTTACTTTCATGTTTTACTATATTTTCTTAACTAAAATATATTTGAGAATTTACAACTAAAAAATAGAATAATAAAATAAAATTTCAGCTTAAGTGTATTAAGATGAAGACTATTTCATTATATTAGGTTTTATGGTAAAGATGTAATTATGGAAAAAAAATAAGGTCAAATATATCATTTAACATTTTATTTTGCAACCAGCTCTTTCAAACAGTTGGATTTTTCGGCGTTTTCATTTTCATCTTATTTTGCAAAATAAACTTTTTTAAAAAGGTGTTTAGTATTTCGAAAAACCTTAAACACTGAGTAATCAATACATAATCACATTCAGTCCAGCCAACACCATTCAAAGCACTACAATCACACGGTTCAACAAAGAAAACACACCATCCATAAAAACAATAAAAAAGGCAACACAGATTCATAAAGCACGAGCTGATCGGAGACACTAGATACTTCCAGCACATTGCTGCATTATAAAATGGGACGAACCATGTTCGCTTTATCAATTTTCTACAGCAAAAGAAACGGAACTCAGCACGTCGCAATCATAACAGCAATACCATAATGATTAACGAGAACAGGGCAAGCACTGGTCTCCTTTGTGATGATCCCTCCAGAACTATTGCTACTTCCACTGTAAAACAAAAGAGAATTCAGGCCGAAGTTACAGGTTTCCGCCTCGAATCATTGAAGAAAACACACACACCGAAGAGGAGGGTTTCAAGCTCATTCTCCACTCTGCTCCACAATTTCAGCTCCTTTATTGGAAGACAACCATCACACTTCATTTATTCGACGCATATCATTAATAATGGGTAAAATAATAACAGCAACTCATGCAGCACGAAATCCCAAAGATTTGGCTTTGAGTTTCAAGGACTTCAGGTAATCAATAGCTTCTTCAAGAACCAAAATGGCATCCTTTCCCTCTCCATCTGGAATTATGCTTCGTAAAACACTTACAGTGTCACAAATTTTATCCTTTCTCATTTTCTTTCTCCCTGAGGATGTGTACACATCATAAGATGCAGGTTTCCAACCATTGACACAGCTGGAATCAGCATCATCCTGGTAATCTGAATGTATAGGATTAGCTGAAACAGCAGGGTCCAAAGGCAATGGGAAATAATCATTATTGTCACCAAGCAGTTTTCGTTTTTTCGTTAGTCCGGTAGTTCTAACGAAATCTTCAGTGCCTCCCACAAGTTGCTCATAGTGAGCCGTCATTGTACTAGGAGAATGATCTGTGCTCGCAACTTCTTCATCATCATCAGTATCATCACAATCATCTGAATAAAGCAACGCATTCAGTTCGCCAGTGTCCTCATGCATTTCACTTTTCACATCAGTACAATTGTCATCAAATGCATCTATTGATATTGGTCCAGACTGAACATTCGGTTTTACTTTAGCTATAGGATCATTCCAGCTAAAGTTACACGAAGGGATCTTTGAACCCAAAGAAGTCGGGATTTTAATAGGAGTTCCAAACACAGAACTAAAAACCACTGTTCGACCACCAGATCGATCAAAAACAAGGAATCTCTTCTGAGCACACTCAGACCCTACCTTGGGGGTAATGTTTTCCGTTTGATTTTCACAAGGGTTTACCGGGAGTTGTACTTTCAAGGAAGAGTTTGAACCAGGCACAAAGACCTGACGGAAGTGGGGTAAACAGTAAAACCGGCCACGATTTTCGTTATCTTGGCCAACCTGAAACTGAGGTAATTCGGTATTAGCATAAACCGGAAAAGTCCTAGTGGTGGAGACCATATTAGTGTCGAAGTTCATGAATTCAGTATTGGTTCTTTGCTGCCCCAAAGGATGTGGAGCAGCCAAAGAATTCAAGTTGTGTGATTGACAATCAACTTGCCTCTGAGGAAACTGAGATCCACAGTCTTCTCCCATCCAACCAAAACAATCACCTAGGAAAACAACCGAGTCAACTCGAAAACAATGTTCCAATAGAGATTCAAAAAACAAAGTACTCTTTAATACTTACCAGAAGTTGAATGCTGTAGCAGTAGAAATAGCAGTTTATTCGCAGTCTCTCTCAAACACAATGGGGAAAACTAGAACTCCAACTTAACTTGAATGCGGAAAATGTGGAAGGAATCTACGTAACAGGCTTAAGCAAATGACGGAAATATTCAGCCTGGCAGAAAAAAAAGACCCTCAAGAAAGGAAATCCAGTCAAGGCTTTGCACAAACTTTCTTATTCAATCATCAATGACAAAAAACAAAAAGAACAAGGTATCACATGTACTACGAAAAGATATATAAACCAATGAAATCCAACATCATCAGGCATAAGGGCATCTAGTTCTATCATAAAGGCTAGTAAAAACAGCATCAGATCGAAGTCACAGTTAACAGAAGGTAAACAAACCTGGCAATCCTGAAGAGGTTGAAAGCATGCTATAACTCTAACCACAATGACTGCAGTCCCCAAAATACCGTTTTCATACTTCAATGCCCGGAATCGTGTTTGGCTTGCAGCTTGGCACACCATAACTACGTCCCAAACCTTCAATATGGCACAAAAACAAGGATCTTCCCGACAATGATGTATTCGAAACCCCTATTATGTTAAATAGAATGAAAGGAAATAAAACTACAACTAATATGCCAACAAAATCTAAACTCTGGATTGAACTACTACTAATCTGCCTACCAAAATCAAAGCTCTTATAAATTTCAGAGATGGGATTGAAGCTATTCAACTAATCCGACGGACATAACATCGGACAACAATAAAATAAGTGGATCCAATGGAAGATATAGAATGATAAGACTACCAAAAAATGAAAATGTTCTAGAATTTGCAAATTACAGAATCACTCTGCAATACAAGTTCAAGGAGATAACTTTTGGAAACACATCAACAGAAACACTTAACCACCACCGCATGATGTTCCTATTTCCCAGTAAATAGCCACGTTCACCTTTCTTTGTAATACCACCACAAAACAACCTACTCCAAAACCTGCAATTGCCAACAGATTTGTTATTTTCAGCATCACATACATAATATTTTTTCTCACTAAAAGCAAGTCTATTAATCAATGAAAAACAAAATTGAAGAACAAGGGTATGATATTTTAAGTTATGTCATTATGTAGCCAGTCGAAGAGCCCGTTTTCTTATTTAATGTTATTGTTGAGATGAAGATATAAAGTTCTGAAACCTTTTGCATTACATCTGTTTTGAGTTTTCTATTATGTTTTGGTTTTCATCAAAATTTGTTTTCTCAATAACCAAATACATCAAACTTATAAAGAGAAATTAGATAAAACAATTTAGCAAAAGTTAATAAGAATACTATGAAGTACACTCTTAACTACAGAAAAAAAAATAGCTGAAAAAAATAAATGAGCTAAAAAACCCAGCAAGAAAATTAAAGATTTGTCACAAAAACCAATAAATCTAAGCAGATTGAAGCAAGATTTGCAAATGAAAACCATCAAATAAACTGGGAAAAAAACTTACAATAAGAGAACAAAGGAGAAGAAGCCCAAATCCTAAATCAACAAAACAAAAAGAAACCCCAACTCCAAATTGCTCCAATCTTTAAGCTTGACAGAGATTCAAGTCTGAAGCTTTGTTTATTTCCTTTTCGGCAGTGAGAAATAAAATAAAATGAGAATCATTACATATAGTCAAAAGGGTTGCAATTTAAGAGTACACAGAAGCTAACATTGTTAATATTAGGCTTTAATATACAAAACGTAACGGTACATTCCGTCATGCCGTCACAAATCATTAATATTCGACGTTGACTCATTTAAAATATTACGTGACTTATTTTTTAATTAAAAAATGATATTTGCAAATAAAAGTAAATTAAAAACAAGCGTTATAATTTTTTTACCGTTTAACCCATTAAAAATTTTCGCCATTCTTCTTCACTCTCTTCCCCCAAATTGATTTTACCCTAAATCTTTTCTAAAGGGATCGACATCGAAGCTTATTGTGATTTTGTTTGGTTGTTGTAATTTATTAAAGCCAGTGCTACTACTAGTAAATGCCTTCCCTCCAACTATGATTTTACTTGGTTTTTGTAATTTACAGTTCTACTTCCTGAAGCTCAACTGGTAACTGTAAGTGTGTTTTCATGATTTTAGATAAGTTTTAGATAACTTTGTTGCTTTCATTATAAAAAGGATTTAGGATTATCATAATGTTTACAAAGTAGATGAACTTTGAAATAGGTAAACCATACAGAAGCGTTAGGCTTTTGAATATATGAGTAATTTCTCAACAACAAAAAAACGTGAATTTTTATTTTAATAGTAAGTTTCCATGGATTCTTTGGATTTTAACATTAGGTAAATTATTTTGATTTTTACAGTGTGACTTTTGAAGGATACTTAAAGTTGAAGCAAGTCTTCTACAGGACCAACAAAGGTAATTTTTTTTGTCTTTTTCTACAGATTTATTTTTTGAAAATAGTAAAATATTTGATTAAAGTAGTAGCAGGTCTTCTATAGGACCAATATTCTTTAATTCTGTAACACAATGGAGGCAAATATAAAATTAATTGGTCTCAGGTTGAAGGCATAACATGTTGTCAAAGCACAATATTTAAATTAGTTGCAGGTCTTGTGCTGTGTTAAAGAATAATTTAAGTTTGACCATAACATGTTTATTAGCTGTTAAAATATTGTGACAGATATAATGCATATTGGTTATTTGGTTAGTGACAGATATAATGAATATTGGAATTATATGAACTTGTGGTTATTTGATTTTGTTTGTTAAATATTAGTTTGACCAGAAAATGTTAGTATTCTATTAAATGATTCTATTTATTAAATGTTAAAAGCAGTACTGATATGGAAATATTAGCAGGTAATTGATATTGAGGGTAGTGAAAATATTGGCAGTAGTGAAAATGCTGGCAGTGGGCCTGTTGGCATTGATAGATTGTTAGATGAAGAAAGTGATGACTTAAGTTATGATACCCAAGAGGAGAGTGAAGAGTTAGGTGGATATTATCTCTTATCTGATGATGATGATGATGAGATAAACTCCATCAGAAACAACTTTAAATTAGTGAAAATGAATATAAAAAATAGCACTCTCACTGCATCAAACTTAGAAGTTGTTGTTAATAAAGGTAATCGGGAGGTTAATGAAGATTCTGGAAATGTTGATTTGGGTGTAGCAGATCATGATGAAGAAGGTACTGGTTTGGGCTCAGCAAAAGTAAACGAGGCAGATTTACCTGGTCAAAACAGAAGAACTGGTTTGGGCTCAACAGAAGAAAATGAGGCAGATTTACTTGGTGAAAACAGTGAGGATGATATTGTTTACCTACATTCTTCAGATGTTGGGAGTTATGAGACTGATTCAGATGGAGATTTTGTATCTAAGAAGATTGGTAAGCTGTTTTACGATCCTTCAAATGTTGAACCTAGATTTGAACTAGGAATATTTTTGAAAATCACAAACAGTTAAAGGATGCTTTGTCTGCTTATGCAATAGCTCATAGGTTTGATTTTAAGTATTTAAAAAATAGAAAAGAAAAAAATTAGGGCAGTTTGTAAGACTTAAGGGTGTCCATTTTTTATATATGTCTCTTGGGATGATTTTTTTTACAGTTAAAACTCTAGTAATTGAACACCAGTGTTCTATGACATTTAAGAATCAAAAAGCTAATTTTAAGTTTATAGGAAAACATTTTCTTGGGAAGCTTAGGATTGTTTCTAATTTGAAACTGAGAGAGATGATCAAGCTTGGTAGAGGGGAGTTACATGTGGAGTTGAACAAACAATGTTGCATGAGAGCTAGGATGTGGCCAATGAACTAAATTAGGGGTAGTGTTGAGCATGAATGTAGTAAATTGTATGATTATGTGAATGTAGTAAATTGTATGATTATGTGAATGCATTGAGGACTGCTCTTTTCACGTAACAATTGTCATATCATCCTTCATCTAAAGACCAAATTTCACCATGAAGTACACTATCCAAGAAGTAAATAATGCTATCTTATAGAACAAAGTATTTGTCATCCTCTTTGCACATTTTTCTTTATATGATTTTACAATTTCCTTCAATTGTTGGTTTTCATTTTTCAATTTCTTATTTTCGGTCATCAACAACTCCAATTGAAATTTTAAATCTTCATCAATACATCCATTGTCTTCTTCATTGTCTACCCACTGAAAAAAATTACATCGATTCTGCGGTATACAAAAAATAATTAGGCTAATAAGTTAGCAAACTCTCAAAATTTCTTATAAAATCAAAACATACCTCTTTCACTTGACAACACCCAAAAAAAATTCCCTTTACTCCGTGGCTTATTCGAAATGCAAATGGGATATTTCATTCCACAATAACATACCACGACCCTAGAACCATAACGAGGCCTTGAACTTCCACTTGACATCTTCAATTTACTTTTAGAAAAAGGGTGGAGAAGGAGATTCCAAGAATTGATTTTGGGGGAAGAGAGTGAAGAGAAGGGGGAAATTTTTAATGGGTTAAACGGTAAAAAAATTATAACATTTATTTTTTATTTGTTTTTATTTGCAAATATCATTTTTTTAATATTAAAAAATAAGCCACGTGACATTTTTAATGGGTTAATGGCGAATATTAACGGTCCGTCACTGCGTGACTCATTCTGAGTTATGAAATGTAACGTTAGATACCAAACTGGAACGAAAAAACCTTAGGCACTAAACTAAAAAAATAGACATACATTGGACACCTTTTGTATATTAAAACCTTAATATTATAAAAACATCCTTGAAACGCAAAAAGAAAAAATGTTTTTTTATTTATAAAAGGCTTAATTCCCAAATAAGTGCCCTAACTATCTATTTTGTACCAAATAAGTGCCTACAGTATTTTTTGGCTCATCTGAGTGTCTAACGTTATAAACATTACCCTTTTATGTACCCAGGTCGTTAACGCTGTTAGTTTTCTCCGTTAAGTGACACGTGTCAACACCTGATAATTTTAAAATTATATATAAAATTTAAAAAAAAATTATATATTTTTAGAAAAGAAAAACATAAATTTTGAAATAATCCCTAAACTTTGAAAAAAATTCATTTCAACCCCTAAACTCACGTCAATCGCCACTTTTTACCGTCGAAGAAACTCGACCCGACCTCCCCCGGTAACCATAACCCCTATGAAATCGTGACCGATTGGCGATCAATCGACCACAAATCAATTTTTTAAATCTAACGAACCCTAAGATAAAAATCGTGATCACACGCGATTTTGACGGTGAATCAGCAATAACTACAACGACTTACAACTAGGATGATATCAAAGACTACGTCGGCGACGGTGGTGATGGCCGGATAAGGCATTAAGTATTTTGTGGTTGTTTTATAATATAATAAAAGTTAGGGTTTTTTATAAACATAATAATTTTTTATAAAAAAATTAAAATTACCAAGTATTGACATGTGTCACTTAACGGAAAAAACTAAAGGCGTTGATGACATGTGCACCTAAAAGAATAATATTTGTAACGTTAGGCACATGAATATGTTAAAAGAAACCGTAGGCACTTATTTGACAAAAAAAAATACATAATTTGAATACTTATTTAAATATTAAACCTTTATAAAAACATTTTTTAGATACTCTCGATGACTATAATATAATATTTATTAAAATAATATATATTTTACAAACATGATTATTTAAATTTAATTTTTCAAAAAGAGATACCTTTTAAATATTGAATTCAGTTAATGAATTTTATTTATAAAAAAATTGAAAGGAAGAAAATTTAAAAGGAAAATGATGAAAGGTTTGATAAGTGCGTGCGTGAGGAGCGCACGCAAGATGTTAGTGAACCCTGATGAAGGCAGCACAGTTGTAGGCCGTGTGGTGATTGTTGGTGTCGGCGCACTTCTCAGTGATTTTATCATTACCCACATCCAGATAATGATTTGGTTTTGATACACTTGATTTTATTGGAAAAAACTCACACATACAAATATCATTATGTTTAATTTTCAACAAATACAAGTATAATTTAATTAAAAAACAGATCGCTTTTATAAAGTTTAATAAATATATATATTAAATTAAATTTTATTATATTTTTAATTATTATAAATTATCTGATAATTAAATTTATTTAATAATTAAATATTTATTTTAAACAAAAAATCATATAAATTAAGTTTATTAATGACCAATATTCGATAATATAAATGATTTTACCAGATTCTGGTATGTGTGTGTGATATAATATATTTTGTATTATTTTTTTTCTACGTTTATAGTGAAATAATTATTTCTATCATCTATTAAGATAAATAAGGTAAAAATCATATTGAATCTCATCATTTGTACGTATCTTATTTATATATTGATATTTTATTATTTATTTTTCTTTTACAAATTATTAATAATATATGTTATAAATAAGTTATATATGCTTGAATTGATTAGACTACATTACATTAGTATCGATAGCCAAGGTCCTTGTTTCGCATCACATATGGTTCATTTTGGCCATTTTTTTGTGTGTATTATGGAACTATCGTTTTCGTCCAACGTGTTACTTTGTTCCTTTTCTCGAGTTAATGTATTATTGTGACCACTTAATCATTGGCCAACAACAAAATAATTTAAAAAAATAGAGCTCAATTTTACACAGAAAAATTAAAAAGATTTCACCACAAAAGGAGAACAACTTCCAATGCAAGTGCCCTTCATTATTGTATAAAAAATCCCTAAAAATTATTTTTCTTGAGAAATATTCTAAATAGCATTATTTAAAAAAATACCCTAAAATATAATTATAGGATTATCCTAGGTTTTATAAAATACGTTTAATGAATTTCGTGTTTTATAAGGCACATGTCCTATCAATTTTTTTTAAATAAAATCATTTAATTTTAAATAAAATAATAATAAATACAATAAATATGTTTTTCGTAAAACATAATATTTAATCTCACATTTTACAAAATACGTAATATTTTTGTAACTAATCTTATTTGTAAAGTTTTTCTCTAAAAAAGTAATTTTGGGTTTTTTTTACTTCTTTATTTCACATGACAGTCAGTAAATGTCAGCCTTTGAACGTGATATTCTTATATAGAAACAAATGGCGGCATTAGAGAGTACAACAATGGGCAGTTATCCGATACGGCATTCTAGTATACGATTAAAATAAAATTGTATTAATTTTATTATTATTTTAAATAATAAAATCGATAAAAAATGATTAAAAATATCATTTTTTATCGGTTCTAATTACCTATATAAGTAAATATAGTGAAAAATTCGGTCAAAAAATGATTTTTTAGATAGCAATTTACCTAAAACATCATTTTTCTTACCGAATTTTTTTATCGTGTTTATTTATATAGGTAATTAGAACCAGTCAAAAAAATATTTTTAATATTTTTTACCGGTTTTGTTTAATACCTTATTTTACTCGTATATTAAATTGACGCACGTAAACATTTCCGTACAACAATACTTTTTCATTGACGTGATACATGGAAAAGGATGCCCCCATCCCCTTTGCGTGGTTATGCTTTTGAATCATTACTTTTTTAGATATATTTCACCAAATCAATTTCATTTTTATTTTTCCTTCTTGTTGTTGTGTTTTGGGCCTTAGCAGACCCCGTTTCTTGCTAATTACTAATTACTAAATGCTAATTATCTCTAATTATTTATTAAAATCATACACATATATATATATATATATATATATATTTAATTATACAAAATTAAAGTTTACATGTATATTTTTAATAATGATAAAATATTAAAACTAAATATAACTTTGGTCAAATGTGTAATATTATACATTAACTTTGATTTGATGAAATAACCTATATATGTAATTTTGATTTTCTCTCAATTGTACATATGTAATTTAACCTTAATTATATATATTTTAAAAAATATATACACATTCTTATTTATATTGGATAAATGTAAATATTATTTTTTTATCAAAAATGAAATGATTACAAGATAGTACATATTTTAAAGGTTCTATTTCATTTAATAATTAATGTTTAAATATTTCTGTTAATGTTGATATTCGAAATCGAAACCTTTAAAGAAAATAATTATCTATTTAATCATTGAGATAGTTCGATCCGTACGACAAATATAATCATTTATATAAAATGTAAATGTGAAATGATACTACATTAATAATAATATTAAAAACTTTAAAAATTTTAATTAAACTAAAATTTCGTATACAATTTTATAAAAGTTCAATTTAGGTGTCATATAATATAAGAGAAAATAACCTCAGTGACCGAAAATGTCTTGTAATATACGATTTTGATCAACTTTTTTTGGATTTGCCAAAATGACCAAGTAAATCGCAATGCGATCGATAATTCGCAACGCGATCTCTGGTATCGCAAATCAGATTCCAGATTCGCAACGCGATAGTCGAAGTTCGCGTTGCGATTCATTCCAAATTTGTTGCGATAGTCGAAGTTCGCGTTGCGATTCATTCCAAATCGTTGCGATAGGCGAAGTTCGCGTTGCGATTAATTCCAATTCGTTGCGATAGGCGAAGTTCGCGTTGCGATTAATTACAAATATTTGCGATAGGCGAAGTTCGCGTTGCGATAGGCGAAGTTCGCGTTGCAATTCATTCCAAATCGTTGCGACAGGCGAAGTTCGCGTTGCGATTCATTCCAATTCGTTGCGACAGGCGAAGTTCGCGTTGCGATTCATTCCAAATTCGTTGTTGCATTTGTTTCTTAAGAATTTTCTCTAAAAAAATAGAATTCGCGCGGACGTGTCGAAGACACGTATTGCCACGACCACGCCTTAAATACCATTCCCAATAGTATTTCCAATACTATGTGGGATTGAACATTACCAACACTTGTTTCCAATACCATTACCTTCATTGTTGTAAGAGTTTAATTTTGAAACTAAAAAAATATTTATTCGAATAAATAACTTACCCTTTGAGGACTTTGATCATAAATGAAGTAATTGCTAAAACTAACTCTGATTCGGGTTCTTATAGTATTCAAATGACTTACTTGCAAAGAGTAGATGATGACCAAACAACTCGATATGTTTCCTTTGTGTCATTATCAGCTAGTTTTCGTAGCATCCTCAGTTGAAAACTTCCATCATTGTCTCCTTTGTATTTGTTTGGTTAATATTTTTCTTCCATCAAAGTCCTCAAAGGGTGAGTTATTTAATCGAATAAATATTTTTTTAATTTCAAAATTAAACTCTTACAGACAATGAAGGTAATGGTATTGGAAACAAGTGTTGGTAATGCTCAATCCTACATAGTATTGGAAACACTATTGGGAATGGTATTTAAGGCTTGGCTTTCCCACTTCCTTGTTGAGTGATAGAGAACAAGGGGGACTCTCGCGCGCCGCCGCCGCCGCCGTCCCGTCTCGGGTCGGGTCTAGTCGGGTCTGGTCGTGGTCGTGGTAATACGTGTCTTCGACACGTCCGCGCGAATTCTATCTTTTTAGAGAAAATTCTTAAGAAACAAATGCAATATTTGGACTATTGCAACAAATTTGGAATGAATCGCAACGCGAACTTCGCCTATCGCAACGAATTGGAATGAATCGCAACGCGAACTGCGACTATCGCAACGATTTGGAATGAATCGCAACGCGAACTTCGCCTATCACAAACGAATTTGGAATGAATCGCAACGCGAACTTCGACTATCGCGTTGCGAATCTGGAAACTGATTTGCGATACCGGAGATCGCGTTGCGAATTATCGTTCGCATTGCGATTTACTTGGTCATTTTGGCAAATCCAAAAAAAGTTGGTCAAAATCGTATATTACAATGCATTTTCGGTCACTGAGGTTATTTTCTCATAATATAAATGTGGTTGTCCCTTGTTCCCTATGTAATGGGGTAAGGGGGAGGTAAGATAGTAGGCTGCCCCCAACACCAGGTTGAGAGCAACTTCCGTAAAAGACCTCTGAATTATGAAATGCCATCCGTAATACTCGATCCCACGTCCTCAAGATTAAGAACCTTGTGCTCTAACAACTTGAGTCGGATAGTCATCTTAGGTGTCATATAATATATTTTATTAAAATCCAGTACTGCCACGTTTCGGGTGGGAATATGTATATGAGATCGGAGTGTGAACTGTTAGTAATAGGCTTCTCTTCGTGACACCAAATATAAAACACAGACCCCAACAAAAAATGGCCTCCATTCTCAGCAGCACTGTTTTGAAATCGGACCGGACCGACATGTTCAACCGGGAACTGCTGTCTAATCCGGTTTATTCTACACCGGTTAAATCGCTACTAGTGAACCGGAAGGAACCGTTGAACCGACTGTGAACCGTTGAACCGGACCGGACCGTGAATCGGTTGAAACCCGGTTCTGTTTTTTTTTCAAAAAAAAAAAAATTAAATCAAACGACGTTGTTTGTTAAACGAGCCGATTTGAACTCGAAAACTTTAAAAGTAACCTTAACTCGACTTAAAAACTCACGAGCTAAAAATTATCAAGTTCAACTCGAACTTAAAATATAATATTGAAATTTGAACTTAAAAAGACTCAAACTCAAAAAAAAAATTAGAAGCTCGATTGAAGCATGAAATTCGAGCTCGATTGAAGCGAAAGAATAGTTCGTTTTGTGATCACCAAAATGCTCCATAATTTTGAATGTCAAATTACCTCTATTATTTATAGAAGTTAGTTGAGATGCTCTTCTATGTTTCTTAGCCATGTGAGATTGTTTTGTTTTCATATTTTTACTCTTTAGACTTTTGTTATTTTCTTCTATGTTTCTTAAATCAAACGATATCGTTTGTTATGATTTTTTTAACCCCAAATTTATTTTTTGATTATAGTTATATAATTATATTTATTATTTAATATGTTTTATCTTAAATATTACGTTGTATTTGATTTAAATCATTTTATTTACTTGATTTTATGATTTTTAACTTTTATATATATATATATATATATATATATATGTTATAACTTACTTTGAATAATGTTTTTTATATTTTTATTTAACTTTTTAAATAATTAATTAATTATGACGTCGTCTAATTCTTTCGATCGATCTAATCGGTTCAACTTATTGAACCAAAAATCCGGTAGCACGGCCAATTACCGGTCTGGTTATGAAAACCATGCTCGGCAGCAGAGCTCCATCGCTGGTTTCACCCGTCATAATACGGCGCCGTTTGCTGCTGGTCGGTGTGTTTTTCGTCATCAGTGTGGGATTTTCCAATCTCTGCCCGCCTCTTCCCTCTCCCTTTTATCACAAAACAGGCAGCGCTCAGTCTCTCCCCTCTTCCCCCTCTTAAGGTAGTGGTTGCTCTGTGGTTATTATTAATGCTGATTTTCTCTGGATTTTAGCTCTAATTTATGTTGGGATTCTTGTTTTAAATTCCAAGTTTAGTGCGCAATCAGCAGATAAGACCGTCCACACTGCGAAAATGGAAACGAATAGCGACACTGTTCCAAGCATCGTCGTTTATGGTACAGTTCCCAACAGAGAAGCAACCCCCCCCCCCTTTCTGGGTGTTGAAAAGATTAATTGCTTAACGTGAATTTTGTGGTCAAATTGAATATGGGTTTGGGGAAAAGAAATCAGTATTTGGGAATATAAAGATTTAATTGAGAATACTTTTCCATTTGCAGATACACTGATTCGAACTTCGATCTACTTGATGACATCTTTTAGGGATAATTGCTTAAACCAACTAAGCTAAACGCCTAAACCCATTTCTTACTTTTCAGTATTAAAAAGTATTAGACTTTAGAAAATGCCATTTCAAAACCAAGGGTGTGATGCAGTATTAAGTTTGTTGATTCATTCAAATCAACTTGAAAGTAGCTTTTTTCTTCTTAATATTAAGGTTTCTGCTTAATTTGCTGAATAATCCATTTCCATGTATTGAATATTTGAAGTAGTTGAAATTTGAAAGTAGCTTTCTAAAAGTAATGCATGATTATATGCAGGTAAGAAGTTAGCTGGAAGCATTGTCAAAGAGAAACTTGCAGCATGTGTTAATATAGTACCAGGTTAAGTTTATAATTCTTTTAATTTGTGCCACAATATAGCAATCTATTTCAGATATGGGAATGTATTGTTTTTGTGATTGTGTTATTGTACGTTATATATGTTTTACTCTATAGATTGCCTATTAAGTTTGCATGTTTAACCTTATCAAAAAACAAAAAAAAAGTTTTCATGTTTAAAAATACATATTTAAATCATCTATCAGCTAGCTAATATCCGTTTTACGAAATGAGTGTGCCTCAGACTATCTTGTAAAGATATTTGGAATAAGTCATTTCTCTAGTTTATTCAGTTTCAATTTGGCAATTCGTAAATAAGTGATCTTGTAGCTTGAATGTCTTGCTTTACAGTAATTTTTATAAGATCCCTTGAACTAAATCCACTTGGTCTATCGCTGCTCAACTTGCCTTTTTAAAATGTTCCCTTTCTTTTCTTTTTCATTTCACGAGGGACAGTTTATTTCTGATTATATTGATTCTTCAATCATGGTTATTTTGTGGATGTAGGTATTGAATCAGTATATGAATGGGAGGGAAAGGTGGACTTTCTTTTTGATACTTGCTTTTGTTGAACTTATGCGCTTAAAATGTTAAGGCTCAAGTTTTGCCGAGAAACTGAGATTTTGAGAATCTAGAAGAGCAAATCCTTTTAATTCTCAAAGTTTTTGCTTAGGGGGTCAATCTAGGCATTTCTGATGATTGTTCTCTGGCTAAGTTTGTAATAATTAGATTATGTCTAGGATTGTTTAACCTAATTATGTCTCTTTGGCTGCAGATCAACTCCGATCCTGAGGAACTGCTCATAATCAAGACAAGGCAATCTCTTCTCGAAGCTCTAACAGAGCATATCAAGGCAAATCATGAATGAGTAAGCACAAAATAAAAATTGTTCCAACTTGAACTTGAAGTTAGAAGTTGCAACTGAAGAATGGATTAAGGATTGTTTCAAAAGGAAAAGAAATAATGTGTTTGTTATTCTTTTCGGGACATTATTTTTGAACTTTTGTTTTAACCCCTTTTAAAGCCAAGAAAATAACATCCCTTTTTTAATAAAGAAAATAAAGAATACAATGAACCAAAAGCATGCTAGATCAATTTCTGGACCTTACCTTTTTTCTTTTTTCAGTGTACCAGAAGTATTTGCCTTACCCATCACTGGTGGCAGCCCACAGTATCTAAACTGGCTCAAGACCAGTACAAGGGATTGAGTTTCCCAGATGTGGTATTTTCCGGAACGCTTGAAACCATTAAGTAGTATTTCCTTTAAGATGCCAAATCACATATATGGTTTGCATGGATAGATGCCATTAGAACATTAGAATAAAGGTGGCATGTCATTCTTGCAATATGAAAAGTCAAAATCGAGTTATGATAGGTAGGATCGTTTTAGAGTGAGTGACTTTAGATGTAAGACATGGAATTCTATTCGATAAATAAAGGGGCAACCCGTATTCAATAATGCAAGTATTTGATCCCCTCAATTTCTGCTTGCTTTCTAAAATATAGTTGTATGCGAATGGTGCTCATCGTGTAAAGGTCCTACTATTCTGCGTTGTGTATTTCTCATGCTTTAGGTTTAGGTCACCGGTTTGGTGTGAAAATAGATTGTTTGCCAACTGTTCATTATTCTAGGACAAGCCACTTAGTTGGGGGTTGAACTAGAAGAGGCAACTGGTGTTACATATCATATTCGTGTTGGATCATGTACATGGATCTGTTAGATGAAACACAAACACCTGTTTAGTTACAAGTTCATTTTCACATACTTTTTTGTTGTTTTAGCAAACAATGCTGGGAGTTGACACTCTAGCTTCCAAGTCTTCAATATTGCTAAAGAGATGGAGCTTATCCATTTAGAAGCCTAGGCCCTAGAGAATTTTTTTTTAACCTTGTAAAAATCCTTTAAACACCCACCCCATTATTAGGGTTAATGACTTCTATGGCCCTTATAGTCGAGAAAACAATAATTTTTTTTATCGATCCCTTCAATTTAACCGGTTCTAACAGAGATTGATTTAGTTGGTTATTTCTGAGTTTTGGGTTTATTAAATTGTGAACTGCATCAGTCGTCAAAACTGTCCTATATATTATTTCAAATGTACTTATTACATATAATATAATTAGTGGCTTAAATTATCTAAAACCTAATTAATTTGGTGAGCTAATTAAACCGATTGAGATTATGTCGTTTCTCCATTATAGTCGACCGGTTCAATTTTTATAAATCATAATAAGTTAGAATGATTTTTTTAAACGATTGAAGTGATGGTTTAAATCGTTTGTTCTCCCGAACAAGGGAGTACAAACACTCCACGAAACAATTATAAAAAATAACATTAACAACTATTATTATTATTATTATTATTATTATTATTATTATTGGGCAGTTGATCTGATCTTCCACGTTTGGTCAATGAATTAAAGATACTTTCTTTGCTCAGCAGAACAAGAGAAACACCGAAACAAAGAAATACAAAAAAGAAGCCAAGGAAGAAGTTGCCTCCACGTTTCTGTACACGAGATTGATTATTTTACCAAGACTTCCTATAGCTTGCCCTCTACTGTTTTAATAATAGGAAAAGCTTGCAACGTAGGCCACAACGTAAACAAGTTATCTTTCTAGAAAAACAAAATAAACTTCAAGGACTCTACCAATAAGCATTTGCATATCCCGGTCACAATCAGCAAAACTATTATGAGATCAAAAGGCTGATTAAGCCATCACCTGATGCCAAATTGCCAACGAGTTTTAATTGCAATCAGAAATCCCCCCATAAAAGAAAACGATATTTACAATGATTAAACATAGAAAGGGTAAGGCAATGAATCCGTAGCACGAAAAAGCATGGAATCCGTGGCACGAACAAGCTGGCAATTTGACGGCACAAGAGCATAAATACAACACGGATTTCCGGCACACCATGCTTTGTTGTCCATGTCATGTAAAGAAATCAGATAAGTTTTGAAAGTACGTCACAAGAAGTCCAGAAGGCTTTCAATGCAGCTTGGTAAAGTAATGGGTTTTGGTATATCCTGTTGAGAACAAACAAACAAACAAATGGATTGTTATAGCCAAAAGAAATTAAGCGAAATCCAAATAATAGAATAGCAGAGATGCCGCATATTTATCGGCAAAAGCTGAGTCAGAGAACTTCTACAAGCAAATTGAGGAACTGAGAGACTCGTTTGCTAAGATTAAAACCATAACTCACCCAACTGCAGTCGCTCCCCAAGATGCAACGTTATAAATGACTTTACTTCCATCCCATGCTCTTTGAAGCTTTCCCTTTTTCTTTTTTACAGAGAAGGTCTTGCAAAGTGCTACAAGAGAATTGCAAAGGTGTTCAGAATTCCTATGCTGGATTAATGACTGGGATTATAGTATCAATTATGGAATAATCTGGTAAAAAATATGGAATAAAAGATACTTGAGATGGAAAATATAAAAATGGCAGCCTGTTTTTCCTACAGTATATCAACCTGGGATTGCAACTGGATTAATCAATAGCAACCCAGTAAAAAACCACATAAAACCAATAAGAAAACCAATTTTGTATTTGTTTCCAAAATTTTGTTTATAATTGATGATTTGAACCTTCAACCTTATACTAAAGATCATGTCATTAAGCCAAACTTTTTTAATTAATCACAAACTATAGTTGATATTTATTTTATTATTATTTTTTAAATATTGAAAAAGGAGTTTTGATCAAAGTGGAAGAAGCCTGACTGGTTCAACTTCTGCTTCAGTCTTTTACACTGAATTTCCTAGAGTGGAATAAACAAACTCACCTTCCTGAAGTTGATTGGGGGTCAAATCCTGGGGAAGAAAACAACAATAAAACACTTTAGCCTTCAGCGGTGAATTAATGAAAATGCATGTAGACAGTTTTGTTTGGGCTTCCAGAAAGTAAGGCCCCAAACGAACTTTGAAATGAAACCATCAAAATTTTCCGGCTTTAAGAATAATACAAGTGAATGAAAACAAAGAATATAAAAAGATAATAACACCGAGAAAGAGCAAGAATTTCACATACCTTAGTCTGTTTAAGGGACAGCAAATATGCAGCCATAAAACAAGCAACACCTTCTACTATATCCTCCTGCCTAACAAGAATATAATCTTCTCCATCTAAATCAACAACTTCATCTTCCCAAAGATCATTTTTGTTGATCATGTCCCAAGAACTACAATCTTCTGGGTCCATATTAGAATTTCATTAGCATCAAGAAAAACAAAGATGCATGTTCAAAGCATTTGCAATAAATTGAAAATGGCAAATTAAAGGGGTCATTGGATGCATACTGGCTATGTCTTCTGGAACAGCCACCTGGGCACACTCTAGCTTTTCAAGGAAGTCAGAGCATTGAACTCTAGATTTTAGAAGATAGCATAACTGCATTTATACAAAAGGTGCATAAACTTTGAAAGTTATTTGGAAATATTTGATATGAAAGGCAATTCAAATCTCATATACTATTGCAAATTAAGTAGATCTCCTTTCTAGCGAGATAGGGATAACCATATTTAAGTGGATTTTTGCCATAAAAGATGCAGATTGAAAAGAGTAGCATAGAAGTGTAATATGGGCATTTATTCTGATCCTGATATTTAGTAAACAGGTGACTGCAAAGTGGACTACAATGAAAGAACAACTACCGAAACACACACACAAACTTCACACTCCAAAGAGGAATACAACCATCAGATGAATAAATAAATTTCTTCACATTCCCCAACCGTCAGACTCAACTTCCAAATGAACAGAAGAAGGTTCCAGTTTATCACAAACTTCGGCTCTGCTTTATAATTTCATTTATCCAATTCGAAATCCATTTGTATTAGTTCCCAATCTTATATCTTAGTACCAAATTTCTAATTCATATTATGAATATTAAGAATGAGAAGTTTCAATATCTTCTTGGTGCTTCGTTCTCATTTATTTCCCTTTTCAAAGTAAATAATCGCATGCAAAGACAGAAACAAACACATAAGAAAGGAGCATGGCAATTGAGTTGACATCAATGAGACAAAGGCTATGAGGTAAACGGATTATTAAGCAAAGAAAGGCATTATATAACAAATCTGACAAGGCAAAGTGTGTAAACTGTAATCTATTCTTGTTCAATTTATCTTACTATCCTCTAGCTAGCTTTTTCAATTTGTTAGAGAAAGAATGCACCCCAGCCAATTTAGCTGTTAATCAACAATAATTTATCCCTCATATGACAGCACAAACACTCCTCAAGCAAACCAGAACTCGAAAGTGAAAGTCATCACAGCATATGTAACTTATTTCCTAGCAAAACTTTACCTGTAAGCATACAGCAGCAAAAGAAAGTACTGGACAGTTGACATAGATACGCAATTGATGAATCACAACAGGAAAATTGTCCGAATGAGAACTGCCATTTAGCTATAATATAAGTCCAAATGCCTCATTCAGGCTGAGCTCAACTGAGATCCCAACTATCTATCACTCAAGGATGAAATGCATAATCCTAATGAACTACATAACGTAGCTGAACCTCTACGAATTAAAATTTTCATAGTTTTAGAATTCTCAATAACAAAGCATAGAATGAGATTAAACAAACAAAATCTTCACAAGGACAAAACAAATCCACCAAAATGAAAATCAATTATTCTTACGAAGTTGCGAGTTAAAAAAGCTGCATATGTAAGATTCTCGCCAGGAATTTCCAGAATCAAACCTCTTAGAAAACAAACAACAAACAAAAAGCATTACACAAACCTTGTCAGCTTCTTGGTCACTTTGAAGTCCGCCACCGCTGACTTCCCCTCGACGATCTACATCTTTATCATATCCATCTTCTCCGTCATTATCGTTATCGTCAATTCCAGCTTCGGCTTTATTAAGCAATTCGAGAGCTCTCTGGCACTGTTCCAGCACGGCTTGCAAAGTCTTCCTCTTAACGCGAACCTGATCCTTCTCTTCCAAAAATTTTCCCTTCATCTCCCAACCTTCCACCGCCAAGGATTCGTTGCTAGAACTCATGTCGCCAACCCTAAAACAATCTCACAAAATCCACCCAAGCCTTAATTTCAAATTCAATCAATTTTTTAAATTGTCGTCTCCTAAGGAAATCGGAAATGGAAGGGAGTGTAATTGAATTTTATTTTATGTTCTTCGTAAAATAGACGGAGATGAAGAGGAAGAACATGAAATATATTTTTGTTTTTTTTTTGGTGAAAAAAATGTAAATGTTATTTTTTGTGGAGAAAAAAAGAGGAGCGGGAAGAGGCGTACAGGTTGTAGCCGCCGTGCCAGCTTTGGCGTTTGGAGCGGCTTACACGCTGGATTTTGAGGGCCGTTCTGTTTCGGGTAGCGTGCCCCACCTCACGGGGCAATTACAGTTTCGTCAATTTATATTAATTAATAATTATATTAAACTTGTTTCTAGTTCCAACTAATCTTTATTAGGAATTGTAACTATGTTTTAGTAGTTATTTTTTTTTACAAAAGCTACTAGTTTTATTAAAAATAAAAAAAATAGAATTATAATGAAAATTAGGATTTTTTATAACTATGTACACAAAAATTAGTTATTTAGATTACAATGACCAAAAAAAGAAAAGATTAAAAAATCTAATCAATGCTCAAACAAAATAAATATACAAACAAATCTGATTACATTGGCAAACGAACCACAAAAGGGGATGAAACTATTGAAGACCACCCCAATCGCAAATCATAGTTAAGCGACATGAGAAAACTATCAACGAACGCAAAATGTATATCCAAATCAATATGAGTGTCAAAAGCAAGGAAGATCGTCATGATAACAAATATGTGTCATCTTGATCAGTCGTGGAGATGACAAATCCAACTTTGATAAAAAGATAAACGAAAAAATGGTAAAAGACTGTAAGTTGCCAAAAAGCGGAGAAAAACGTGTCACAAAGAAAAAAAAACATGTCACAACAACATAATTTCCCAATTTACCAGTTGGAATCTAACCTTTAAAAAAATGCTCTATTTCGATGAAATAAACTTCTCATTCTCATTCCTCCTTCATAACTTGGTTTCTCATTGTTTCCCAATTTATCAAGGAGATACCATTAGATCCTTTATTCGTGCCCCATATAAAGTGACAGATTAATTTCTCCATCTCATCACAAAATCCTTTAGTGATCTATGTGGACTGCATAATGTATCCCAGTATTAGAGATGTAGGTTGTTGTTCACTACTATGCAGTTATTGTGGTTGATGTGCAACTAAAAACTTGTTGAGTTTGTTAAAGTTGTTGCCGAAAGCTGTTAAGTTTGCCAGCTAGGATAATAGACAGTTATGCTAGCTAGGCTAGTAGACGGTTATAGTTTTACCTATATAATCTTGTCATTATATTATTGAAACTCAGATAATAAGAATAAACTTTTGGTATACTTGTTGTGAGTTTCTCAACATGGTATCTTTCGCTAAAGATCCTGGAGCTTGCTTGGTTACGAACTGAGGAGTGTGTTTCGGCTATTGCGTTTGCTCTTTCATGTGGTGGTGCGTTCGTGGCTTCTTCTAGCAGTGTCATAAAGTTTATCAATAAGAATGTGAACGTGGTTTTTGATAAGATGAACTTCCTATTATGGAAACAAGTTATTCTTACTGTAAGGAGTCAACACATCAAACGATTGCTTACCGGTGCGATGCAACCCCCATCATGAGGTAGTTGTTGATAATAATGGAGTCTTGATCTCCAATGAGACGTATGAGGATTTTGTTATTCAAGATAGTGATATGGCATTGTCTACCATTAGTGCTCACTTGTTACCTCAATTTGTTGGTGCTGAAACAGCTGCTCTTGTTTGGAGTATGGTACTTAAGTTATTTGCTAATAGATCTACAACTTCTGTTATGAACTTGCACTATAAGATGCAATCTCTTAAGAAGGGAGACGATACCATGAATGTGTTTTTTGCTAGGGTTAAAGAAGTTTGTGATGCCTTGTTGTCGTGTGGCAGTTCTGTTCATGTTGTGGAGTATATTACCATTATTCTCAAAGGGTTTCCAAGGGATTATAAACCATTCACGACCATCATAATGTCTTGTGGAAATATTTTCCTTAGATAAGGTTTATATTGTACTTGTTGATGCTGAAACATAACTTGTTCGACTTGCTACTTATGAGGATAATGGTATTGTCATTGCTCATGTTGCTCGTGGTATTGTGGTTGATCTTGATAGTAGTGGTCGTCCTCAACCGCACCGATCTTATTCTGGTGGTCGTTCTGGAGACCATGGTCGAAGGAAGCAACGTGTCCATTATCAACTTTGTGGAAATGTTGGGCATCTGGTCAATAAATGTTGGCATAGGTTTGGTGAGATGTTCACCGGTGTTACTGATGATGCTGGTCAGTTTTGTTCTAAGAAAGATTCAAGAAATGCTCATATTGCGGTTAGTGACACCTCTGGTTGTGATTGCTGTCATAGTAAGAAATGTGATAAGTTGTCTTCAGCTCATGCAGATCTTGCTTCTGCTTCTAATCAGTGGGTGAAAATTCAGGTGCCACGCACCATGTCGCGCCTAAGTCTGAAACTGTCACTCCCCAAGCTGAACACTTTGGTCTAGGTAATTTAGTTATGGGTAATGGTGTTTTATTGAAGGTTAATATGGTTGGTAATGTTGTGTTACATTCTTTTTCTCGTTATTTTTTCTTAAATGATCTTCTGTATGTATCTGGTGTAACAAATAATTTGCTTTCAGTTTTAAAGTGTTCTAGGGACAATGTAGTTTACTTTGAGTTTCATTCAAATGCGTGTTATGTTCGTGATAGCTCTACAACTGATGTACTGTTTACATGGAAGGTTAAAGATAATTTATATGTGTTTTCAGAAGATTGCTCACCAGTTGTTTGTAATAAAGTGCATGCTAATGTTGCTAATGCTCATGACTATAAATTGTATGATGTATGGCATAGATGGCTGGGTCATGCCAGTTATAATATTTTAGTAACAGCTTGTAAGGCCATTGATGCAACAATTCCTTCGAATGTTAATGAAAATGTGATGCATACTGCATTGACAAAAGCCATAAGTTGTCATTTCATTCTTCTATTTCTATTTATAATGCTCCATTTGAGTTGGTGTTTACTGACCTCTAGGGTCATGCTCATGTTGTTTCAAGAGGCTTTAAGTATTACTTAACATTTGTTGATGTATATTCTAGGCACACTTGTATTTATTTCCTGCAAAACAAGTCTCAGGATGTTTCAGTGTTTCAATTGTTTCAGAAGTTGGTTATGAATTAGTTTGGGGGTTTTATTAAAGCAATTTAGAGTGATTGGGGTGGAGAATATAGAAGTTTGTCTCCAATTTTACTACAAGATGACATTATGAACTACCTTACATGTCCTCACACTTCTGAGCAGAATGGTTTTCTGGAGAGGAAGCGTAGGCATGTCATTGAACTTGCTTTAGTTCTATTTGCTCAAGCTTCTACGCTTATACAATATTGGTTCTATGCAGTAATGACTGCGGTTTATACTATTAATTGATTACCAACTAAAGGGTTAAGAGGAATATAACTGTGTGAGCGGCTTCTTGGGAAGAAACCATATTATACTGCAATGAAAGTGTTTGGTTGCAAGTGTTTTCCTTATTTACGTTCGTTTCAAACACATAAGCTTGAGTTTCATCTCAAGTGTGCACGTTTCTAGGTTATAGCCCTCAATACAAAGGATATATTTATCTTGTTTTGAGTGAGAGAATTTATGTGTCTCGTCATGTAGTTTTTGAAGAATCTGTTTTTCCATTTGCAAGTTTGTCTAACAAGTCTCCTACAGCATGTATAGATGACTCGTACAAATGAGCTAGCTGAACTAGAAATTGTGGCTGATATTTCGAGGTTACGGGTAGTAGCTACTCAGCCTGATTTCTCGTTGACTGACCTGGGTATTGTTGAGTCTAGTGATGCACTGCAGGGGTATGTACAGGTTGAATCAGTGCGTTCTGAGTCGGCACCTGCAATGGCTGGTGAATGTTTGTTTGCAGATGAGTCTGATGAAGTACTTGCTTCTAATAACCAGACAATTGTACAAGTTGTTGATGCTACCGTCAATATATCTGAGCATTTAGCCACACCTGCACCTGCTTTGAATAATCACCCTATGCTCACGAGGAGAAAGTGTGGCATTTTCAAGCCTATAACATTTCTTCTGAAACTGTGGAACCCGTTAATGTGTATGATGCCTTGAAGTCTTCCAACTGGAAAACAACAGTTCATGCTGAATTTGATGCTTTATAGTGTAATGGTACATGGAATGTGGTAAAGTTACCCCCTGGACAATCAGTTGTAGGGTGTAAGTGGCTTTTTAAACTGAAAACTAATCCAGATGGTTTGGTTCATCACTACAAGGCTCGGTTGGTTGCTAAGTCCCAGGACATTATTTTACTGAGACCTTTCTTTAGTCCGGTGGTTAAGTTTGCTACACTTCATGTTGTCTTGTCTCTGTCTGTGGCTCGACAGTGGCAATTGTACCAGATTTATATTATTAAAGCATTATTAAATGGAGAGCTGCATGAGGATGTGTATATGCAACAACCTCCAGGGTTTGAACAATATGTTGAGGATGTCAGTCAGTTTGTGTGTAAACTGCACAAGGCATTATATGGACTTCGTCAAGCACCTCGCAATTAGCATACTCGATTAAAGCAATGTCTACTTCAGCTAGGGTTTGCAGAATCTAGGGCTGATACATCACTGTTTATTTGTAATAACATGGGTGTTTTTCACTACAATAAATTTATCAATTTATGACGAAATTTCTATGTGGCGTTGCATATAACGTCACAAGATATACAATAATTGTGACATTTTTTTAATTTTTGTCATAATCAATGATTGATGGTATATCTTTTATGAAAATTTTAAAATTGGCCATTGATTTTCGTCACTATATGTTTGGAGCCAAAATTTGCCTCTAAAAAGAATTGGTGGGAAACCTTTTAATGACAATTAGACAAAATGGTGACATTATAAATTCGTCACTAATAGAATATAAGTATTAGTGACGATTTATTATAATGAAGATCTGATTTGAATTAGTAGCATGTCAAATTTGTTGCAAATAAATTCTATTCACGACAATTTAATTTGTCATATTTTATAAGACATAAAAGGTGATAGTTTATTGTTGTCACAAAAATAAATTTAACATGACAAAATCAATTACTTACCACTCATTGTTATACCTATTCTCTTTTATATGACAATTTTAAAAGATATTGTGAGATTATGTCACTTAATTTTTGCACCAAAAAAACATAAAAAAAAATTGGTGAGAAAAGTTTAGTGACACCTTGGATGTGCCACTAATTCAAAATCTTATTAGCAACGATA